AAATAGCTGTTCACGACATATTAAATTTTATTACATGTGTTAAATCCACCAATCACTTTTTAATTTAAAGTCTTATCATTGCAACTATAACTGACCTTGATGGTGTCTGTTTTTATCTGAATGCTATAAGATAAACATTCTAATTTCTTTACCTACAAAGAGCTGTTGCTCATAGTGTAGTGAATGAGAACACAGGTGGAGGCAACCGAATTGTATTTAACGAAAATTACAGAGTTACTCAGTAAAATCGGAAAACCATATCGTACATTGTTCATTTGCAAAAGATCAGTTCATCCTATGGAACTGGACTGTTCCTGTTGCAAACAACATCAATCAATTGTCACTCACTATTCATGCGTTTCATACAAATTCCATTGTTTTCTGACTCTTCCTTTCTTGATCTTCCCCCCATATTATGCTACCAGACTTTACGTTGACACTCACGCTATATACTACTTATAAGTAGTTCGCACCACAGCACCACAATAGTAGTCACATTTCTGGAAAAAGACAAAAACAATAGGATAGAGCAAGTGTTACTCGTTTTTAATATAATGAGATCAATACCTCACCATAGTTTACTTACTGGCTTACGTTTGTTACCGCTCATAGAGCAAAGATCACCGACCAGCATTTTCTAACCTAATTTATCTTCAAGGCTCTTCTTTCCAGTTGTTCCAAAGTTCTATTCATTGTTGTCATATCGGTGTTCCGTTGTCTATCCGTTTTCCTTTGATCTTTGGAATTCTAAGTTAAACGCAAAAGATAACCGATAAACTAAAGAACACTTTGCTTCTATAATTAAAAACAGACATGCAGAGAATGGATAACACTTGGAAAAAACCAGAAAGAAGAGTTCTTGGGTAGAATTGGTTGAAGATTTCTGGTTGACAGGTGACCTCTACTCCATTAGGGGTAAAAAACGTAAGTCAGTCAGTTCAGTCATTTACAACGTAGAACCTCGTACGTGCGTACATCAGTTCAGGTTGCCATACTCCATCAGCACAGAGACGCAACGCACATAGTGGTAGCGATAGTAGAATTATTAGCAGTAATGGAGAAGATTAAGGTTCAAAGATATGATTCGAGAAATATAGTTTAGCGAGATAACTTTGGAAAGTGAAAGATATCGATGATAAGAAATTCAAAATGCTAGGATTTGAGAAAATACAAAGAGTGAATGCACCTGCGCCACTGCAAACGATTTTGAGCCATATCGTTCAACGTCTCTAGCCGTTGGTGACTTTTGTCTCGCGGACCCTAACCACGTAGCCTACATCTACCAACATGATTCAGTCCACTTGTCAGTGACTTCATGGATTTCTGCCATGTTTTGGTTTGGCAGCCCCTAGCTTTATTCCAACCTACTGCTACACTGTATAACATTGCTCGTCGCGGCAGTCGGTGGTTAGCCATACGTAACACGTGTCCCAACCACTTCAACTGATGAAGTTTCACTACTTCATCTATTGATTTGCCATCCTTACCTAGAACTCGTTTCCTAACGACAGCATTGCTTATACGGTTGTCCCAGGATACACAAGCAATGCTCCGGATATACCTATGATCGAAGACTAGTAACCTACGGAAATCCTCTACTCTTAACGGCCATGTTCCGAATCCGTACAGTAGGACGGTGCAAACTGCTGCACAGTACACCCCAACCACGTAGCCTACATTTACCAATATGACTCGGTCTACTGGTCAGTGGTGATTTCACACAGATATAAGTAAAGTAAGTAAGCCGTATATAGTGTAAAGTACCGACTCCCTCTCTCCTCCTTCTCTCAATATTCACTTTTACTTTCTTTTTATTCAAAAATAATAATACTTACTTACTTACTTACCTACTTATATTCACTTCATTTCAATAGTATATGGACGTAATATCAAAGTTGTAATGGATCAACAACAACAACAACAACAGCAACAACAACAACCAAATGATGCAGTGAAAATTCATCCAGGACAAAATACTGTTACATATGAAGCACGTTTATTGAAATCTTTACTATTAGAACTTATTCAAAGTTGAAATTTTCTATTGAATTCAATTCAATTACCGCTTCCATGACTGTTGAACTAGTTGAGTACATACATATGTGTGCGTGCGTTCTTGTGTGTGTGTGTGCATTTCTGCTGAACCTGTTTATCCATACAATAGTTCATGTACATAAGTGACTGAGCAAAAATCAATTCAATTTTATTTTGATGTTTTGTCAATAATATCATGTATATTCCTTAATCTTAATAATAATACAATTGATAAGAAGTATTTGTGATAATCAGTTTAGTGTGTGTAACTTACTTACTTACATATAAATGCCTGTTACCCCTAATGGAGCATAGGCCACCGATCAGCGAGTTATTTTTTCTGGTTAGCCAGTTGAATTTCTACATGATGAGTTAGCTATAACGCCATCTGTTGTAAAGCTTGCTTAAATAATTCCCAGCTAAATCCTATTGCTTAGTATTCTCTGACCACAATACACTGGACAAGTTCCCAAGAATCAAAAAACGGTTGAACAGGAAAAGATTATATTCCAAATAGCAAGGTTAAATGGAAATAAGAAGCCAGAGGTGATGGCGAAGGCGAAGGCAAAAATAGATACAACGTTAGTTTATTTATAGCATTTACATGAGAAGCTTCTGGATAGAAATTCACCTGATCGACTGGATTAGATTTAGCCAATCAGCATGCAGCTAACAATACGAGAATTTTCTACCCTGTTCTCCAAGAATCGATCAGGCGCTGATTGGATAGGAAATTAGCCAATCAGCGCGTATCAACGCAGTCATGCTTTAACTCCATCTATGTCCCACTAACACCATCCATGCTCAACACTCCTCCTTTATTCAGGCTCGGGACCCAGAATTATCCTTTGCAGATGATATTTTTTCATCTACGGTATTTGACCTTGCTGCATCATTTTTCATATAATGTTAGGTCCAGTGACTTCATCAGTTATCTGAATTAGTAGTATTACTTGTTAACACCAGTTACCCCGAATGAAGCATAGGCCACCGTATATTGAGACCTACTGCTGTTGAGGCTGCTGTTACACTGGTAGTGTTATCTTGCATTTAATGTTGCATGTAGGATAGAACAGCCAGATCATCTGCGAAGTCTAGATCGTTCGACTGCATCCGAACTGTTTACTGAATCCCCTGCTTCCCTCCAGATTTTGACGTCTTCATAATCCAGTCGATGATCAGGAGAAAGGGAAAGGGTGAGAGTAAGCAACCTTGACTGACACCGGTTTTCAACTGAAACGAGTCTTTCAGTTGTCCTTCACGCGCGATTTTGCAGTGTAGTCCATCATCAGAACTAATACAACAACCTTAGCTGTTTACGATCAACTGATTATTAATTGAAAAAAAATAATCTGAAAACTATTGCGTTCAATTTTAAATAGCTTTTGAGAAAAGGATCTTCATCAATGCTTGAATAATGTAATTGAAAAACTTCGAAAACTGTCAAGTAATAATAAAAAACTAAAGATCGGTTGATGAGTCGAAATTCAAAAGGTAATCTTTCGTACATAGCCTTGTAGCTTTAGTGATAGAGATTAGATTGCGCCTATTACCCCGACGGAGCGTAGACCGTCACCAGTTTTCTCCAACCAACTCTGTCCTGGACTTCCCTTTCCAGTTCTGTCCAATTTTTAATCATTTTTCCAATGTCCTTCTCCATTTCTCGGCGTAATGTGTTCCTTGGCCCTCCTCTTTTCTTTTTACCTCGAGGGTTCCAAGTGTGGGCTTGTCTTGTGATGCATTTGAGTGCTTTCCGCAATGAATGTCCTATCTACTTCCAGTGCTTCTTCCTGATTTTCTCTTGCACTGGAATCTGGTTTGTTTCCGCTTTAGTGATACAAACAAGTAAAAATGAGTATTCTTCATGTCGGATATAACCTACAATGATATTTCTTGATTACAAACTAGATTATATGCAAATAACCTAATACTGATTTATTATCACACTGGAAATCTGTTACAAAGTTTGGTTTCAGATATTAATAAATGGTCAGTAGAGTAGATCGACGGGGGATAACATTGCAAGACTAGCAGTTAAAGCCACCAAAGAGAAAAAGGTTGAATACTTTTGGTTTTGCTAATGGGAACTTCTGTCTTCTATAATTGTGTAACGATGAAGCATCAGCAATGTGAAGAGGGTAGAGTTCCAGTGTTTTTGATAGGTTTCACAATTCACCTTGTACATCATTTTAAGTCCATCTTCATCTAATATCACAAATTCAAAATGTGTTCAATTTTCAAGTTCCTTATGGATTCACTGCTGCATTTGTTAAGCCTTTCTGAGCAGGAAAAGCATTAAATGACCTATACACCCAAATTTATAGGAGTAGATAAATAGATAAGTGTATATCTAAGTAACTAAAGATGATAGCTTATCTCTCCCGTAGTACATTAAACTCAAGGTTGATGCGAAGAACGTTTTTCGGAGTGATTTAACTACATACGTCTGTTACCTGCAATGGAGCATGGGGTGCCTTTTAGAATGAGCGATGTGACTATTCGAAGTTCTACTGATTGACCAAATTCAGATATTCTAGTTCTATCTCAAATCTCCAATATATCAAAACATAACACCGCTAGATGAAAGTTGTTTATGGGATCCGAGTATAGAAGAAGAAATAAGAATAATAAAACTTTACAGACAATGCATATTTATACAGTTAGGACGACTGCGAATACTAACCAACAGGAAACAACATTTGATGTGAACTTGATAGTTAGGATGACCTTAAATATTGGCCAATAGGAACTGACCAATAGAATTAGACTTACTGAATAATTTCTTTAGGATATTTGTCGAATATCCCCGCAGTGCCGACCAGCATTCTCCAGCCGACTGTCTTGGGCCTTCGTGTCTAGTTCTTCCCAATTGCGATCCATTTTTTCATGTCTGTTCCCAATTCTCTGCGTCTTGTGTTCTTTGGTCATCCTCTTTTCCTTTAGCCTTGAGGATTCTAAGTGAGGGCTTGTCTTGCGACGTAGTTGAGTACTTCCCTCAATGTGTGACTTATCCACTTACAACACTACTTCCTAATTTATTCCTCAGCTGAAATCTGGTTTGATCTCTCTCACAGTAGGTTGCTGTTGATTATGTCTGGCCAATGGATCCTCAATATATTATGTAGACAACTGTGGATGATGATGTTTTTGGTTCTACAAGTTTCCGCTTCATACAGTAGCGCTATCTTGATATTTGTATGGAACATAAAATACATTCGAACCAAAAAAACATCGTTCATTTTATTAGGAAAATTTTCAAAACTACATATACTGTTTGGATGTTGTCAGTTTCATGTATGTTGTCGTCATATCGTTTATTGACTAGTTCAACACACAATCGAAACCAGATACATTCATTTCGGTACACGTACATGTAAACCTACATTATTTTGTTGTTTTTTTTTTGAGAAGACTACGGGATGATAGTTTTCGGTTCTTTTATAGTTAACTGAATTCATGTAACGTTACATTCATTCAATGTTCAATTTTTTTACAGTTGAATGAAACTTTTATTTGTATATATTCATGTTTGATGATTTGCTACACATATTCAATTGTCTATATTTTATATGATTTTGATGTATTATAACAAGATGTATGAAGTAACCAAATTAAGAAAAAAAATAATGATAATTTGATGTCAGTTTTTTGTTGGTTATACTGTGGTACGCGCTACATATAAGTAGTAGTATATGACGCGAATAAAAACGTAATGTCTGGCAGCAGAAGATGGGGAAAGATCAAGAAAGAAAGAGTGTGAACATAATGGAATTTGTATGAAACACATGAATAAGTGAAATGTCAGACAATGGATTGATGTTTTGCAAATTAACGGTTTACGATATGGTAATGTAATTTACGATAAATACAATTCGGTTGCCCTCACTTGTGTTCTCCTTCACTACAATACAACTATCTTCGACGTTAATAATATTTTCACTGCCTAAAAAAAATTTATCTAACAACTTTTAAAACAAGCAGAAAAAGAAGAAAAAGAAAGTAGATAGAATTAAATGTTGAAGGAAAAATTCTTCTCTCGGAAAAAAATAACCTCAATACGCTATGAGTTTATATATAAATGGCATGTAAAATCTAAAAGTGTAGTACCATGTGTGCGTTTTTTATCATAATCGAGCTGTGGAAAGAATGTATGAACTTAAGTCAAATTGATAATAAATACCCTAGTTAATAAGTAATATTTTCAATGGTGTTTCAATAGAAGTAGTGTTTGCAGTTTCAATCAGTCAGATGCAACGTAGAACTTCGTACATACGTACATCAGTTCACGTTGCCATACCACATCAGCATAGAGATGTAATTGTCAATTCAAATCCAATAGTAGAAGAGGTAGTAAAGGTGTTAGAAGTAATCGGAGAGGTTAGGATTAGAAGATATTATTCAAGAAGTATAATTCAGTGAGATAAGTTTAGAAAGTCAAAACTAGAGGAGTTGACGAATCCAGAAGATTAGGATTTGAGAGAACACAAAGAATAAATGCACTGGCGCCATTGCGAACGATTTTGAGCCATGTCATTCAGGGTCTCTAACCATCGATTATTATCATCTCGCAGACCCCAATCAGGTAGTCGACACCTATCGACATGACTCAGTTCACTTGTCAGTGACTTCATGGATTCCTGCCATGTTTTTGTCTGACCGCTCCTAACTTTCTTCAGTTCCAACAGATTCTTGATTTATAAGTCCACAAGGATAGATAGAAAGATAGAGATACAGATAGACTACAGATTAACTAAGATTCAGGAAGGCGAAGACATATATTTATATAGATTGGAGATTAAATGAAGAGAGAACATGTCAATGTCGGAGATTGCACAGTACAGACAGTCAGCCAGTTACAACATAGAACTTCACACGTACGTACGTACATCAGCACAGAGATGCAGTTGTCAATTCAGATCCCAAATTAGTAGAGGTAATAGAAGTATTAGTAGTAATCAAAAGGAGTTAATGATCGAATATATCATCCGAGATCTACACTCTAGAGC